GGATTTTCTTGTTTTATGCAGTCTCTTCCCATTTACTGCATCCCCAAATAAAATTCTAGGTTATCAATGTTTGAGTCAGAGCATGCTAAAATATCCCAATATTTGGAAGTTTTATATTCTCTTATATATCCAGATGCTTTGGGCTGGCTCGTGTTCTTTGAAACTTCTAACAATATTTCAGGTTTGGTCCTTATATTTAAGCTTTGTTTTCTGAGATTTTCCTGACAGAACTGTAGGTTACATACAAGAAATAGAAGCTAGTATGGTTGAGGGAAGAAATGTGTCCAAATATGTACCTGAAAGGACAGGTCCTTCAAAAGAGACAACCTGATCATGCGCTTCAAACACAGACATAGCCCACAGTCTCTCAGCACTCTTCAGAGCTAACTCCTCATTCTGCAAGTGACCTGACAACCCAATTCAACCTTATCAGGTTCTTACATGTGTCTTCCCTCTCATCCAGTCCAAAAGCCCTTGACAAGAAACTGCTTCTGAAGAAGAAAAAGCACCCAGTGGGAGGGCCACTATGGTGAGGCCAAAGCTCCAAATAACACTGTGAATCCTAAAAAAAACTGGCAAAGGACATTTTCTTATGAAAGAGATATTTCAAACAGCTAAAAGTTTAATTTATATCTGGGTCCTTCTGAAAATGCCTTGGGACACAGCAGTACCAACAATAGACTTGCAGAGGTCGAGCGTTTTTAATAGATGCAGCTTTCTCAGTAACAATGTATCCCTACATATTTTAAAAGGTAAAGATCTATCAGGAATGAATACCTCATATCAACAGGCTAAACCTACTAAATGCAAACATTTTAAAAAGAGTGGAAGCCTTTAAACACTTCTTTAAAATGGAAAAGGTGTTTTAAAATTTTGGTATTTCTTAAAAATGTAATTTAACATTCAAAGGGGAAAAAAAACCACTTGACATTATTTATTCCATGAAATAAAAATGATATTTCATTCTCATTCACTATACAGTTTAGAATTCATACATCACATGTCATATGCTTTTTAATTCCTACATCACCAGAAGTATGGCTAGTCATTTTTATTTAAATGATGGTGGTCAGTGGAAGTTCAGAAAAGGATCCAGAAACACATTACCAATCAGAAGTCAGCTATAGGCAGGAAGTTGACATTACCAATCAGAAGACAGCTATAGACAGGAAATTGTCTAATTCCTGATTGATGATTTCCTACCATGCCACTTTTCCTCTCTGGATGTTGCCTCCTGATTTGGGATTTGATACACATCCAAAATGCACAGATTTTTAGTAATGTTTCTCCTAGCATATTAAATAAAATTCTGAAATCTAAATGTGAGGAGAATAATATCTGAGAACCCTCATGGGCATGTTTTCAGAACACAGACAATGCCAAAGTGAGGAAGAAATACTCAGAAATTTGTAACAGACCTTAAAAACAGAATTTATAATTGCAGAAGAAACACACAGTTTAAAAAATACAAAAAGGTAACAGGTGCAATGATTCCTTTCCCTTGATAAAGCTCAAGCCTGCTTACCAAGGAAATGTAGAAAGTAAAGAAAAGTAAAAAAAAAAGAGAAGAGCAGCTCTTTGAGTCCAACACAACAATCATTATAATTTGATTTTTGTCCACTTACGTGGTATTGTCTTTAAATATCAGCTCCACAAATAATGTTAATTTAAATATTAAAAAGATATTTTCAAACACAATGATAAGAAAGGTTAATTCTCTAATTTGGTCATTTAGAAAGAAATAACAGAATCAGCATCTTTACCAAATCACTTGTTTATGGATTATATGAACAAAATAGTAAAGGATACAGTTCATAATATAAAGGGCTATGAATAAATAAAAGCTTAGAGGGAGTGGAAATTGAATTTTATGATCTAGAGATGAAAAGAACTACAAGCTATTATTTTCATTGGAAGGAGAAAAGGCCTAGAAATGTAAAAAGGTTCATAAGGCAAATATACTCTCTTATGTGATACAGGACTTAGTGATAAAGTATCTTATGTGATACAGGACTCAACCAAGCATACAACTGAGTTACAGTGTTGTTTGTGTAAAATGATTTCTTATGTTTTGTTTTTTTTTTATTTTTCTCCGGTACCGGGAATCAAACTCACGACGTTGTGCTTGCCAGGCAAGCGCTGTGCCACTGAGCTAAATCCCCAGCCCCTTGTAAAATGATTACTTTTTAAAAATAGAAAAATGAGACAAAATTTAGATTTACTTGTACTAAGAGCAAAAGGGCAGTTGTATGGGAATTAGAAAGCTTTTCCTTGAGATTAAAATAATCTAATATGATATACATGTGTATTTTAGTTTTTTATTTTTCTTTATATAAGGATTATTTTCTTATACATGGATTAGTTGGTAAATCTAATTAATCTTGGCATTCCGTATCTAAGTATTTTGCCAAATGACTATTTATAGACATGATTGGTCAATAAGTAAACAAATCTATTATTTATAGTCCATTAGTTCCTCAGTGACATAATAAGTATACAAAGGCAATTTTTAAGTCATGAAGAGTTTCTACTTTTTTATTTTAATTCTGCAATGATTATGTTTTATTTGTCAAACAGTTAAAATGTTATGACAGTTAAAATGTGAACAGTGGATTGTTCTATTTTAATAAAACTATTTAAAAATAACTCTGCATATTGAATTTACATCTATGATTCAAGATAAAAGAAAAAAATGTAAGCATAGTGAATTCATATGTTCCAAGTTTATACAGTACAGACCTAAGACACTGGACTGGGTAAGTTATCTGACAAATTTAAGTTGTCATGATATTTAGTTCAAACGGAGTCAAGTTGGCACTCTGAATAGTGAATGAGAATCCAAAGACGACTAAACCTTAATTTCTGGAAACTATAAATGTGATGTATGATAAATGAGGCTTAAGTGAAAATATAGGATTAAGATTGCTAATTTGGTGAATTTAAAGAAGAGGAATTATCCTGAATTATCCAGGTGGTACACGGTGATCACAAGGTCAGTCATCAGATCAGTGGTGAGAAGGACTGAACTAGTCATTGCGATCTTGGTTGATGAGTGGGACTCACAAACAAAGGAAAACTTCTATAATACTGCAGAAGGTGGAAACAATAAGGAACTGGATCCTCCTCTATGGTCTCCAGAAGATGCAGAGCATGCCAAGAATCTCATTGTATCCCAGCCAGACCCATTTCAGACTTACCACCTCCATCACTGTAAGGTGATATACTTCTGTTTCAAACTGCTAGGTGTGTGGTAATCCGTTAAGCAACAGACAATAAACAAAGAATACCTTGACCTTTGTCCTTTTACCACATGCCAGATAGATGTGAAAACAAAGTTGTAAGAACACAAACCATTTGTCACTAATAAGTACATACTGAGTCCTATATCACCTTGAAACTTAATTAGCAAAATAAACTGCTATTCTCTCTTATTAAGGAAATAAACACATATGACTGTGTATGTGATATAAAGTATATCTGATGATATTTCTAGTTTCAAATATGATTGTATTATCAATATATAGGATTAGAAATACTCTTAAAAAAGTGGAACCACTGTCTAAAAGCGGTGAGTAGGCCCATCAATGGGAATAATCATTTGAAGACCTGGCCTGCATGTAGTAGACACAACTCATATCATGAGTGGGAGACCTGCTTCAATGACTTTAAAAGTCTCTTTCAGACTCCTAATTTACAGGCAGTCTTCTTGATACAGAGGAAAATATTGACAGTGAAATCACTGGCAGGAAGATTGTTTGAAGTAGGACCATCACGTGTAAGAACCTGACTAAGTGGTTTTTTGGGAGACTTTATTCTGTCTCTATCTGGTGAGTTTCAAGGTGAAATATGAATACAATGTAAGCACAAAATAAAAAGCAGGCACTATGTTTTAAGCCAACAGAAGAAATGATTTCATTGTGTTAGTAGGTTTAAATTCATGAAACCACCACAGTCCTTATAACATGAAATGTTCTCACAGAAGAAACAAACCACATTCTTTATGCCTTACTTCTCTCCTATGCCTAAATATCTCATATCCTATGCTTATACCGGGGCCTCACAAGACACTTGTCTGTGGAGGCCAAATACTAGAAGGCTTAACACTCTCTAGAATCTATGTTTGGTTATCTCCATATGGTCTATGAACTTATGACAAGGAAATGGCACCTAAGAAGAGGCAACTTTGAAAGCTTGGGGCCCACCATTTGCTTATAGTGTCCACTTCCTATTCCTTGCAAACCAATATTCCTTCTCTCTTCTGCATTTGATTAAATGTATGCCAAGGCAGGTTTAGAGGTGGAAGTGGCAGCATAAAAAATTTTCATTATTGCCTATAACTCAAAAGTATCACTGTGATGTATTCAGAGTCCATACTGATTCTTACAGAAGGTACAAAATATGTGAGTAAACTTCTGTAGAATTTGCAAATCACTGGTCAGGTCCATAGAGTTTTTCCCTTCAATCAAGTTCTCCATTGAAGCATTATTCTTTTGAGGGTTCAGTGATTTGAGGTCTTCAGGATTCCTTATTAAAGTACTTATACTCTTAGAACAGTAACCTGAGATTTCTAACACAAAATTCAGTAGGGAGGGCTGACCTTGACTTAGGGGCCACCATAGCAGACAAAGTTCAGAAAGCCAAAATCTTGGCTTTCAAATATGAGTTGGTATCTTTCTTATTTCAGACATGTAATCTATTGAAAACTGCACTGCTCTTAAATTTAACTATTCCTCAAAGATTAATTAGCTGCATATAACATTCCTAAGACCCTGAAGAAATATAATAAATCGCAAGTATATAAAACTGCATATATGTGATGTTTTCTATAGTAAACAACCAAATATAATGTGAAAAACTCCAAAGTGGAAGTATATACAGAGTTAAATTCTATCTTTGAATTTTGACATGCTCAACTGTTGGAGAAAAATGTTTAAATCTTTTCTCCTGCAAGATTAGAACCACATAATACATTTTTAGTGAATATTAAATGTTAAACTTACATCAGAATTAAATCTCAACTGGCAAATGTTGCATGATATGATTTGCTTTCTTCGATGAGGAAGAGGAACCCCGAACGTATGATTTATTACAGCTTTCTGAATCGGGTCCATCTGTAATGAGAAAAAAATATAACAAAAATAAAGCTTGTCAGTCACTGGAAAGTTGCCTATTTCATTAAAAACAGCCAATCTGTGCAACTTCAATCTAATGCCCACATTATAAAGAATATTTTTATTGTAAGAAAATGCATTTCTATTTTTTGGAAAGCAGATAACAATAATTCTTATCCAGTATGATAAGGAAACAATAAATGTACCCCTTACAGTCTGCATACTAAGTGCCTTTCTCTTTTCTGATAAACAGTTGTTGCAGTTTGACAATCCTAGGTACAATTAAAATTTTATCAAAACTCAAGTTCTTTGCTAATGCCAACAATCTAACATAAGTAGTCTATACCACTGTCTAAAAGTAGATTTCAAGAAAGACTTTGTTAGTTGAGAAACTACAAAAATAAATTACATACCATGATCCAATTTTAACTGCACGGTATGTGTTGTATATTTTAGACTCTACAAATGCAGCTCACAAATCTTGGATTCCAAGAATTGATGTATACGGATCTTTTAATTAAGTCATTCAGCAATCATTTAATGATAACCTAATGTATACTGATATCCTATGTACCTACAGGGGTTGTTAAGAAAGTTTAAACCAGATATCAATTTTCTCTTCCCATCTCACTCCAGAACAGAACATGCAGCAACAAACCATAATGTTAGTAATCCAGCGGTGCTAAAATCTGTATCCCCTCACCAAACTTTGCCCTATGGTTCAGGCCAGAGATTCTCAATTCTCAGAGTCAGATGATCTGTTTAATTCTTACATAAATTCTTTCAACATCTCTTAAAGTTGGGATGAGAATTATATGTGAAAATTTATGAAACTGACTTTACAGAATCAGTTTTATGTGCATTAAGCAATCAATAGATTCTGACTATGATATTCACTTTATTGCAGCACATGAAGACAAAGGGTAATATGACCCTCACATTCCCGTAGTCAGTGTTGGCACTTTCCTATTTTTCATATGGTCAAAAAACATCTCAAAAGTATTTCACATACATACAAGCATATATATCACATATAGGTATGTCATATACTGGGTTAACATATATATTATAGAATGATAGACATTATATATAATATGCCACATGAAATATATTATATATGCTAACATGTTATAAACAATGTGCATATTTATGATTTCTGTTAAAGGTGTGTAAATTTAAAAATTTTAATTATTCATATTCCTAGCTCTTGTGACAGTCCTCATCTTGGTTTGAGATAGCTCAGAATGATTTCACACACACACACACACACACACACACACATCCATACGTACACATAAAGGTACAAATGTGTCTAAGAAATAATGCCTAATATTCAGCTTCTGTTACACCTTACAGTTAATCAATTTTCTCCAATAAGACATTGACAAATTCCGCTAGCTCTTGCATATTTCAGATCATTGGAACAAGTTAACTCATGGGCTCCCTCTGTTCTGTATTCATTCCTCTTTAATATTCTGTCTAAAAATGTTTAATGTACTCTTCTGTACAACAACTACAGCCTGAGAAATCATAGCAGTCAGTATTTATTACAGTGCCTCCTAGGTGCTGCACACTAAGCTAGGTGTTTACATATTTGGGAGCTAACAGTGAACACGAAGAACTCATGTGTGTATTCATTCTGAACTTACATTTCCCTTTAAACTTCATCTGACATTAATCCTTGCCCAGATTCTGGATGAAACTCAGGGTGTCCCTTTGATTTTTATGTACACTTACAAGAATTAAAAAATTATATGAACTCTCCCTGACTTACTAATGAATTCGGTCTTACTGTCTTTTTGATCATTTTTTCTTTAGGTCTAATTTACATGCAACAAAATTCACCAATATTAAGTACTCAACTTAATGAGGTGTGATGAATGGATGAAGCCACAAATAATTATCGAACAGAACATTTCTACTACCTGGAAAAATTTCCTTCTGCTGCTCTACAGTCTCTCTCTGCCCATCATACCCATCCCTGAGCTGCTGATCTGTTTTCTGCCTGGGATTCTGACTTTCATCTTTGCTGCATGTTTCACTAGATTATTCCTTTATACTGGTGAGAAGCATTTCTTCGTATAACATAATAAAATATGTTTATATATTTCCCAGGTGATGGACATTTGAATTGTTTGTCTTAACAATCTAAACTCATTTTTAAATTTAATTCAATGCTTTAATTCAAATATTAAAAACAATATTCCATTATATAAAAGTACCACAATTTTATAATCCATTCCTCAGTGGGTAGACATTTGGATTGATGCCACAATTTAGCAATTACAAATTGTGTTGCTATAAACATGGGTGCACATATATCGCTGTGATATGATGTTTTCAGATCTTCTGGGAAAATACCCAGAAGGGGAATAGCTGGGTTGAATGGGACCTCTAGCCCTATTTTGCTGAGGAATCTCCAAATTGATTTTCACAGTGGTTTCACCAGCCTCCATTCTCACCAGCACTGGAGAAAAGTTCCTATTTCTCTACAGCCTCTCCAGCATTTGTTATTGGTTTTTTTTCTTAATGATAGCCATTCTTACTCGGGTAAGATAACATCTCAGTGTTTTAATTTGCATTTCTCCACTGACTGATGATGTGGAACATTTTCTCATGTATTTATTTGTCATTTGTATTTCTTTATCTGAGAAGTGTGTGTTCATCTCAGATGCCCATTTTTGGACTGAGTCTTTAAATTTGGTGGGGGCTGATGTTTTTTAATTCTTTATATGTTCTAGATAGAAGACCTTTGTTCAAGGGACAGGAAGCTTAAATTTTTTCCCAATTTGTGGGTTTTCTTTTTACTCTGCTGGTGTTTTCTTTAGATGTGCAGAAACTTTTCAGTAGGATGAGATCCAAGTTGTTGATTCTTTGAAGTATTACCCTGGCAGTTTGGTTTTTGTTCATCAACTCTCTTCCTACCCCTATGTCTTCAGGATTTTTATTGACTTTCTTTACAGGTAAATGGTCACAAATAGAGATCATACTCACAAGTGAAATAAACCAGACCTCCATGTGTAAACAATGTATTGTCTCACTAGTATAAGAACCTGAAAGAATGAATAAAAATCAGGAGGTATGACAGACATTGTGAAACAAAAGAAAAATGCTCAAAAGTAAAGAGCAACTGAGATGAGGCAAAAGAGAAAAGAAAGAAGGGGAAAATATGCATGTATGTACAAACAGGATAGCTAACGTAGTTGTACTACTGATTTCTATCGCTTTACTGAAAGGAATAGTTAATGATTAATTAGTTGATCAATCTTGCATGTCTCTATTTGTTTTCCTGAGAAACCACTTTGAAGATACCAATACATAATACAATAACCATTGTTAATTTCCTACCACTTTGTCTATAACTCTTTATTGCTTGTATTGCTCTTACCCTATTTTGTAAATGGATGCCTGTTTGTTAATATGGTTTCCTTATTTTATTTTTAGAATAAATTTAAAAAACAAATATTAGAAAGAAATTTAAAATTACCATACCTCCCGGGCCTGTTTTAACCATAGCAGTGTGAAAGGTCACAGATCATGGCTCAGGATGGCTCTGTGTACATACTGCCATGGTTCCCTTTGAACCAAGTTTCCAGCTTTCCTCAACCTTGCCTCACCTTTATTTCAACAAAACAGAAATCAACAATGCATAAAGCTTGAGCCATCCAGGAACTGCACAAATATGTGTCTTCAGGTTGTTTTACTAGCTTCCATTCTCATCCACAGATCATTCTCATATCACTTTTAAAATGTCACCACAAACTTCCATAACAACAACTACAGAGACATTTTTCTTTCAGATATAAGCTGAAAAAAAACCAGCAGAAAGATGTCATCACCTTAAGAAGTACTTGTGTCATTGTCTTCTGTTTGAGTGTACTGTGCATAAAGAGGGTTGATTTCTTTCAGAGGGTAAGGTGAATTACACCTGCAACTTATTAAAGAATATTAGAATTCTCTTATAATGATACTTTGAAATATAAATGTACTACATATTTGTATCAGAGATGCTTCCAGAAAATACCTAGTGCTGAGTTTTTATCTTATTGGAAAGAAGGTTATTATTTTGGTCTTTCAATACACTGGGAAGCAGTGACTACATTCAATCCAAATTTATGTAGGAGGTATTTTGGAACTAGACATTTCATGCAAATGTGACATATTCTCTAGATTAAATTCTTTTGTTTGAATTGAATGATGTTCTGATCACTGTGGCTATACAATCAGATTTCAAAATGCAAAGTGCTGTATTCTTCAGAAACAATTTCATTTCCCAGTATACTCAAGGAAAAAAGAAAACTTAACAGATTTATATTTTATAGATGTATTTCACAAATTGTAAATAGAGCACCAAAGTTAATTATCTTTTATCATTTTAGGAATCTAGTGCCACATAATGATAAAAGTTTAATAATTTTATTAATTGAAAGTAAATAACCTAAGATGTGTGTGACCATCTGCAGGGAGCAGTTATGAAACAATGAATTGTAAATAGCAACCCGTTCCATTGCTAAATGCTTCATTAAATGATATTACAGGCTGTGTAACTAAAACTATCATCTACTATCAAATCTAGGAACATATGTACAGCCAATTTGATCATTCTGCCTAAAGTTATAATTATTTAGCATTGTAATCAAATGTTCTGCTTGAAAAGAAAGTCATATTTGTTAGTTCTTTTTCTATGAACCAGTAGATGTGTTCTATCAAAATAATCATGTTCTATTGTGTGTGTGCATATTATCATCAGGAGTTTCTCTGCAAAATTAGTTGAAAATGAGGCCAATATGTATGGTAGACAAGAAAAAAGATATTTTTGGGTCAAACATGCTGGAGAAAATTCTGTTACTAGACAATACCTTCACAGTACACAACACAATATTAAAATCTCTGAGCTGTACTACAATGAAAATACTTTAATATGTTATTTCTAAAATAACATAACCAATGATTTTCTCTTCTTTAAAAAATTTAGCATGCTTTTTCAGTGCATTCAGTTT